TAACATGGTGCTCCATTGTCCCCTCCAGTGCTGCTCTGCTCTGCCCTCTGCTTTTCCAATACCGAGGAGCCAAAAACACACTGTGGTGTACTGGGCTCTCCTCGGGCCTGCGGACAGCAGAAATTTACCCTCGTTCGATGTGCCCATCTGCAGGGCCTCTGGGGTTTTAAAGGACTGAAGGTTCAAGAGCTGGGTTGAAGTTTGCCCTGTGCCTCCAGCAGAGCAGGGTGTTGGGCTGCGCAGTCACAAGGCTGCACACCACTGGCTAATCTGCACTCCTGTAGTCCCATGGCCTTCAGCTAATCTCCTTTCCCCTCTCTCCATTGCTTCCAGCCAGGGACTCAGCAGATGCTGCTCCGCTCTGAGGGAGGCCACGTATCCCATCCTCTTTCCTTCAGCAGGGTCGAGGGGGTCTGTCCTGTAGTGTCATACACCGTGTCTCTAGTACTTGTCTCTCAGTTGCTTCTTCTCTGGGTTCTTGTCCATCCGATCCTCCTTAAGCCTGTATTGGTTACAGAGAAACTGTTTTCATCTGGTTTTTTTCCTTTACTTCTAGCTTTCAGATCAGCTACATCTCTTGCACCTCCAAGGTACTGGCCTGCTGTTGTCATCTAGCAAGTGCTATTTAATTTAGGTCTCTGGACCATTTTCTTGTCTCCTTTGCCAGCCGCCCTCCACCTGCATTTGTAGCAGGGGCTGTTGTCTGCCTTGGATGCTTCTGCTGCAGATCCTTTATCTAGGTCCTTGCCTCCGTCTAGAGTAAAACAGTCTGGGATATTTACCTCTCTTGCTTTCCTGCACTTTAGCTTGTGGTCATTCACTTCCAGCTGCCTGCCCCACTCCTGCTGGAGGGATGTCCAGGTAGGAGGTCCAGCTGAGGCCATGGAGCTTGTTGGGCTGAGCCTGGCTCCAGGCAGCACAGCCACTGGAGCTCAGCTGCCTTTCTCCTCCTGGATTTCCCTGCACTGAAGCACTAAGGGCAGGGAGGACTGATGTAGCTGGAATATGGCCCACCAGACTCCCAGTCTTCCTCTTCCATAAGTGGAGTGAGGCCCTCCAGGTCGGGAGCCGCTGCCAGTGCCTCTCCGGAGCACCGGGGCTGCCGCCTTGTGGCGGCACTGGAGCCACAGGGGCTGTGACACCCTCTGGTTCCCACCTCCTCTCCTCTATCTAAACCCTGTGCTAAACAGACCTTATACCTGCCGCTGCCAGCCCTTCCTCGCAGGGGCTGCTGCGTAACGCCAGTGCCTTTCGGAAGATGCTGAGCAAGTAGCATCCATGGCCAAGCCCGTGGGGGCTGCTGGGCTCAGGGTGCTGTCTGAGGAGGGATCTCTGCTTACTGCTATCTCTGCTCTCTGATCTCGCCTCTCTTCATCTTAACCTGGGGCAAACTGACCTGAATTAACCTCTCATCTTCTGGGTGCTCTTGGTTCCTGGCCAGGCTACCTTCTTGCATCTTCTAACTTTCTCCCTCGCCTCTCACTTGTCATTTTAGTGTAGCCTCCGCCCTGCATTCTGACAACCATGACCGCTATGAGCGCCTCACCTCCGTCTCCAGTTCTGTGGACTTCGACCAGAGGGACAATGTGAGTAGCAGCAAGAGTCAAACACCTTCCCTTTGAGTGGCCAGGAGCCCATAGCTTGTCTGACCCAAGGGCTCTTCAGAAGCAACGCCGATTGCCCATCCCTGGGCCTTAGGTCCCACACCTTGTAGTGTATAAGTGTGGTATAGAGCTCAAGGGGACATAACTATGTGGCTTTTAGACATGTGCTTAAATAAGTAGTCTGTACATCCCTGTGGCTTAACGGACATCTGTCCAACCTATCATCTCAGTATCACAAATAATACTTGCCGGGAGAAAGGTGACTGGCTCCTCCTCACAGCACTATCTACCTCTGCTGATGTTTTCCTCTCTAAAGGGGAGGCGCAGTTCAGTAGGATAACAAGATGTGATGGATGAGTGGTGAAGCTCTGAGGAAGTGTTCCTCTTTCAGGTGTCCTTTGAGGAGTACTGGTTTGTCCCACTCTGCCTTCCCAGTCCCTGCAGAGCTGCTCTTGTCCACCATGATGGCTAAAGTACCTGTATGGTGAATTTTGTGGGTGTCCCTAGGCGGTGGAGAGCTTCCATGCTAGCCAGGAGACCATAGGTTGTCTGGGAGGCTGAGGTCCAGTCAGTAGGGGACAGCCACATGGCAGAGTCCAGCCTATGTTGTGCCCTGTAGAGTAGCACTGTCATCTCCTTCACCTGGACCCATCTGTGGCTCTGCATATCTGGGTGCTCGTGGTCTGTCCCCTTCCTGTCCTGAGCAGAGTCTGTTGAGGTGTGAGAACACCAGCCTGGTCTCCTGAGCCTTTGAACGAGGGAGCAGGGAAAAAGGAACAGAGTGACACAAGACCCTACTGTCTTCTTTCTGCACAGGGTTTCTGCTCCTGGCTGACAGCCATCTTCAGGATAAAGTAAGTGCCCCAGGACCTGCACGTAGGAGCCACCTGGGGAAGAAGCAGAGGGTAGTGCAGGGCATTGGGACACCCAGTGCAGTCGTGTGAAGTCACTGCCCTTGCTGCAGCCCCTTCTCTGAAGAGCACAGGCAAAACGTGTCCTCTGGAGAGGACGAGCAAAGACAGGACTTGATGAGGAGTCCTAAAGCCAAAACTGAGGGGTCAGTGAGTCCATGACAGAGAAGAGCACCCAGCCCACGTCTCCCCTGCTTCAGTCCCATCTCAGAAACACTGTCTGCTGCTCTGCAGAGATGCTCTTCTACCTGGGACTCCTGCTAGGGGCGCTGCTGTCCAAGGAAGGATTACAAAGGAGGGACTGGAGGATGCAGGGAGATACCTCAGCCTGATGATGCTCAGGAGTAGTCTCCTGAGCGCTTCTTGGCTTCAGAATGCTGTGGGACAGTGTCAGCCATCCTGTGTCTCAGCAGCGGAAGCAAGGCCTACCAGAAGGATGTGACCTTGGGTTTGCATGGGTCCAGCTGCCCATCCCAGGAGTGGAGGGCAGGGGCGTGGTAGTGGGGCTGCAGTAAGCATTGCACGGGCAGGTTTCTGCCCAGGCTGGTTCAAGGCTGGGTGCTGGGATCCCTACTTGAGGCCTGGCCACAGCTCTGTGGGACAGCACCAGGGGTGCTGTGTGAATTCAAACCAAGAGGGCAGCCATGACCCTTTGCTTTCCTGCAGCACTTGAGGGAATGTAGAAGATTGCCTGACGGCCTTTCTCTCCCTGGCAGGGATGACGAGATCCGGGACAAGTGTGGAGGTGATGCGGTGCATTACCTGTCCTTCCAGAGGCACATCATCGGGCTGCTGGTGGCCGTGGGTGTGCTGTCCGTGGGCATCGTGTTACCTGTCAACTTCTCAGGGGACCTGCTAGGTGAGAGCAGGGAGAATCTGGCTGGGCTGGGGGAGCTGTTTTCAACGCTGTCCCAAACCACTGAGGAGCAGTGGAGGGCAGGACGGGACTAACAGGCAAATTCTGACTGCTGTCCCACTTTGAGAGTGGCACATCCAAAGCATCATCCTGGGCAGCTTGGGGTTTTGGGGTGTTCTGCAGGTGAGATTTCTGCTGTAGCCCACCCCAGTGGTGCTCTGTGCCACTCAGTATAACTGAATGTGCTTGTCTCTGCTTCTTTCTCCCTAGAAAACAATGCCTACAGCTTTGGGAGGACAACTATAGCTAACTTGAATTCTGGGTATGTGTGGGCAGGGATGGGATGGATAATTGAGGCCCTTGGGGTATTTTGTAAATGTTCTTTTGCTGCAGAGCCTCACCTCCTTGAAGGCTGCTTTTGTGCCCTTGCTGTGAAGCTACTGTCCCTACTCCAATTTCCAGACTAAACTCCAGGAAGTTGGTTGTAGGGCATGTGGGTGCCATGCCAGTTATGCTGCTCATGACCCCATTGCCTTCAGGGCCTGACCAGCCACGTCCTGACTTGTAGTGGCAACCTTTTGTTGACCTTTGTGGTCTCCTTTGTGACAGGAATAACTTGTTGTGGCTGCACACGTCTTTCGCCTTCCTTTACCTGCTGCTGACGGTGTACAGCATGCGCCGGCACACCTCCAAGATGCGCTACAAAGAGGATGACTTGGTGAGCAGGATCTGGCTGCGCTCTCAGGCACATTTTTCCCATACCCTTCTGTCAAGTCAGGTGGCCTTGGAGAGAGTGCAGAGCACCCCACTTCCCACAGCAGTTGAGGTCTGCCTGGCTGAAGGCAGACCTCCTCCAGAGCAGCAGCCC